TAGCGAAATGAACGTTACAATGGCCCATGGACTGACTGTCAGGCAGTGGAGCACTAGTCCGAACAGCTAAAAAAATTGCCAGCTGCATAGTTGAAAAAACAGATTCCCGACCACAGCTGCTCCAAATATCTTAGCTGCATAGACAGAAAAACAAATTCCCAGCCATAACTGTTCCAAAATCAACTTCATTACCAGCGAATATTGATATAATATTGATATTATTATCTTTATGGTACCATTTGTTTCATTATCGCTGCGTGATATTATTATCGTTATTGCTTTAATTATTCATAATTACGATTACTATCAGCAGTGCGGAATTATAGAACCCATTTCTCATAAACACGTGGAATTTACGTGCTTTGTGCCTCAGTAAGGCTACAAGTTTTTTCAGCGCGAAGCTGTTGGTGTTACTACTGGTGCAGTTGCTAGTTGCTTTGAACATTACTTCACTGCCACAACCGATGGGTGGTCTTGGCACTTGCTTCGTTCCCTGAAGAGAGTACCGGTTTAAAGATTCGTCCAGCAAAAACGTTATGGCAGGATTTTAGCAATTTTGGATTGTCTCTAGTGCGTGTTAAGCATTATTACCTGATCTTGAAATAGTTATTTCTAAACCAGGATCAGGTACATGACCAACCAAGAAGATATTCTAAATGCCAAGAATATCAAGACTACCCGCGTATCAATGTGGTATTTCGTCTTAATGATGTCAGTTCATTTAATCTCTCAGAAAATTCTCGCAATGCATTTTTGTAAATCATGAGGGCATTGTCTTTACATTCACCTGCTATTTCCAATTTAAATATGGATATTTCAAGGACGACGCACCGGTAATGTGCATGGAAAAGGTGGTTCGATGCATATGTACAATAAAAATTTCTTCGGCGGCAACGGAATTGTCGGCGCTCAACAGGCAATTGGTGCTGGTTTAGCGTTCGCACAAAAGTATAATAAAAAGAAGAACGTCTCCTTCACCTTATTTGGCGACGGTGCCGCAAATCAAGGACAACTTTATGAAGGTTGTTATTTTTGGTGCGTTTCTAAGATGCATTAGATTCCGGGACTGCTGGACCTGCTGTAGTGCTAAAGATTCAATCTTCAAATGATATGTTTTCTTGTCCGCAACATGTGACAGTTACTTCTCATATTGGAAGAGGGTATCACGGGATTATTCTTGAGAATATGTCGAGAATCGACTGTTGCGTAAAACTCCGGCAAGAAAGACACCACGAAAAAAAAGCTGAAAACTGCCTGTGTGAGGCAAGAAAACGATGCATTCTGTCTTGAAAGGCAAATACACAGTAGATGCGCTGCCAGGCTGACTTTGAAGCACAGGGACCGCTGGTATGGTGGGTAGCAGGTCGTGCTTGGATGTGGAGGGCTGTGGTTCGATTCCCTCCAGGTCCACAATGG